GAGAGAGAGAGAGAGAGAGAGAGAGAGAGAGAGAGAGAGAGAGAGAGAGAGAGAGAGAGAGAGAGAGAGGACGGGGCTAAGGAAAGAGCTCAGTCAGAAGACTATCAACTAGGAGCTAGGAGCCTAGAACAGCAATTTCTTCAAAACGGACATTTTTATTTTTTGAACGAAATTGAAACCGACTAAATTGGCCCGATTTAGGTCAATTTTTTTAGCTCTCGAGGGTCCGGTGTTATTAAAATGCCGGATCTGGACATAGCTGGAGTCCAGGTGGATGTATCTGGACTTAGCTGGAGCTCAGGAGGTAAGGCGTTTTAAGAACACCGGACCCTCAATTTCGTCAAAAGCTCGACCTGAATTGGACCAATCTAGTCGGTTTCAATTTCGTTCAAAAAAAAAAGAAAAAAGTCCGTTTTGACGGAATTGCTGTTCTAGCAGCACATTCATTGGAAAAAAAAAAAGGAGTGGAAAATGAACAGGCTGCGTAGCCGGAACGCAAGACAACAGGAAGAAGTGGGAAACTTAGACTATGATACTTTTCCTTGTCGTCCGTTCCCCCCCTCCCCTCCCGCCCCCCCTCTGCGTTCTCCCTGCACCCCCCTTGCAAGCTCCCCCCTCTCTCCAACCGACATAAACACACACACAACCTCCTGATGAGTTGGTGAAAGTCCGGCGGAGCAGTCTGGCACAGTCATGCTTTTTTTTCGAGTGTATGGCGATTATTGTAATGAACCCAGTGTCGTAAAACAATCATGTCGTCAAACAGCAATGTCGTGCAATGTCGTGAGATAATCATTCCAGCAAGTTCATCGATCTGACGTCATCGAAGCATATGATCTCTCTGTTTGACGTGTGATCCAATTGGATAGTATCCAGAGTAGAAAAGAGAAGGGGGAGGCAAGACAGATGGAGGGAGAAGAGTGATACAGCAATCATTCCCACTTCTCCTCCAGGCTTCCCACCTCTGCCACGTCAGCACTACTGAATACTGTATGACACGTGGATGATGTAACGCAGCCCCTCGCAGATGGCAAACCGCCAGCCACGAGCAGAATCAGCAGCAGCGTTCCATCAGGTAAGACCAGGTACGCACTCACAACCTCACACTTCTTCCTCACACACTCTCTCTCCCTTGCCTCCCTATCCCGCAGTCGACTATCCTTGCAGCAATGGCTGCCTCTCTCTCGTATTCTCTAGTATCCAGCTGGGGCGCACGAAACAGCATGGCGCCAGCACCCACTCCTCAAGTCTCACGTGCAGCGTCGAAGCCGCAAGCAACTCGCAAGACTGAATGCCCAAGCAGTGGCGAGGTCAACTTAATATAGTGTCAACTTGCCTGTCCAGGGTCAGCGTCGGTCCATGTGAGGGCCCGGATCATCCGATTTGTCCCAGTTTCGGTCTGGACTCCTTGAGGCCTGAATCTTCCGGAACCTGCAGACCACTGTTAGATCATTCCAAATCGACGGCCAGGAAATCTTGTGTGTCGACTTTGACTGCTCGGATCCGGGCCTGGGTCCACGAGCTGACTGTTGACTTTTCGGTCAACTGTCAGCCTGGGCCATTTCTAAGGCCTGTTTGACCCCTCTTTTTCCAAGCCTACCCGTTCGTGCTTGTCTGCGGGAGCGTCGAGAGCTCAGCGACTCTATTTGGCACACGAGTTACAGCAATATGACAACACACACACACACACACACACACACACACACACACACACACACACACACACATCAGTTATTGCATTCGCCTTGAGGTTTACAGAAACTAATCACTTCTGGGGTAAGGTCCGGCCGACTTACCTGGATTCCATTTCTGGCCGTCGATCTTTCCAATCTATGGCGAGAATGGAGTATGACCTCGTGTCAGTGGGACCAAGCTCACCCCTGGAGTAGCAGTGCATAACGACAGCATGCGTGGGTGGGTGTCTAGTTCCACATTCCTGGGAGTATGGCCGAGTAGACAGAATGACTCGATGACAGCCTGGATTGCGAGGAGAGGTGGTGTGGAGTGGAGGGTGGGGGGAGAGGAAGTAGAGGAAGGAAACAGATGGGCCACAAAGGGAGCAAATAGCCAGAGCGAGTGAGGAGTATTTGTGTGATTCCTGATTCTAACCCACCTTTGTCGGGAAGGCGAAGGGGTCAACGCTCCTGTATCTAGACGCTTTCCGTTCTTGTGGCGAATAAAGTAATGTGTAATTCCATTATTAAACCCCCACTACCTGGGAGGACCTCCCTTTCTTCTAGAGTGGTGACGGGCACCCTCTGGAAAAAGGAGTCCTTCCATTAGTAGCCAATAAAGTAATGAATAATTCCATTATTAACCCCCCACTACCTGGGAGGAGCTCCTTTCTTTCAGAGTGGTGACAGGCACCCTCCGGAAAAAAGGAGCACCCCCCTTCCATTACTCGACTAGAGTGGGGGGAGAGACACTTTGAAAGATTGAGGAGGTACAGGATAGGCCTGGTATAGGTGCGGTGGGGGGCTCGGATAGAGAGGCAACCTGACCGCTGGTAAAGGTTACTGTTTTGGAATATGTAAGTCGACTTCTTAAAAAAAAATGAATAAAAAAACGGTGGAGGCCTCGGGAAACGACAAAAAAGAACCTCCAGTCCGTCCGATCTTCTCCTCTCCAACTGCCCAAAACTGGCCTGGGACCTGTTTTTGCAGGCCACATGCTTTGCACCGTCTGCAGGACAGGTGCGGAGGTAGGGATGAGTTCAGGCTCTGCAGATCAGATCCGAAGATAGGGATGGGTTTAGGCTTTGCGCTGTCTGCAGGTCAGCTCCTGAGGTAGGGTTGGGCTTAGGTTGTATAGGTCAGGTCCGGAGATCGGGTTGCGATGAGGCTCTGCAATGTCTGCAGGTCAGGTGCGGAGGTAGGACTTGGTTTAGGCTCTGCAGGTCAGGTTCGGGGGTAGGGTTAGGTTTAGGCTCTGCAATTTCTGCAGGTCAGGTCCTGAAGTAGGGTTGAGTTTAGGCTGTACAGGTCAGGTCCGGAGATAGGGTTGTGATTAGGCTCTGCAATGTCTGCAGGTCAGGTGCGGAGGTAGGGCTGGGTTTAGGGTCTGCAGGTCTGGTTCGGGGGTAGGGTTAGGTTTAGGCTCTGCAATTTCTGCAGGTCAGGTCCGGAGGTAGGGTTGGGTTTAAGCCCCAATTGGGTAATGTATGGCCTTCAAGTGTCACCTTGAAAATCCCGCTTGATTGTTCCTTACATGGAAACCGAAGACTTTTTTTCATGTTAACCGCCCGGACGTCCGGACGGGGTTCCAGACAGTCCGGTGTCCCGTGTCTGGTGTCCGGTGTCTGGACATTATGTCTGGATTGAGGCCTCTGGGGCAAAAATCAAAAAAAAAATTGGGGCGGCCCAGGACGTTTATCGGGTCCTGGCCGCCCCTAGAAAAATAATGGGTTGATTTTTCAATGTCGGTTCACCCCACCGGACAGGGCCTAGAGGTCCAGATACAAGACACTGCAGGTTTTTGGGGTGGCGGGTTTCGCACAGGCTCGAGCAATTTCAAAGCGGCCTTTTCGATGTGGAGCCAGCTGCTGCTGCCCGTTGGGGGGAGGAAGAGAGAGAGAGAGAGAGAGAGAGAGAGAGAGAGAGAGAGAGAGAGAGAGAGAGAGAGAGAGAGAGAGAGAGAGA